CTCTCTCTCTCTCTCTCTCTCTCTCTCTCTCTCTCTCTCTCTCTCTCCGCCATTCGTTTTTTCTCTCTCTTTCGATTCAGTTGTATTTCGACTAGGACATTTTCGTTTCTCTTTTCTTGAACCACTTAACAGAAAACTCTATCAAACTCACTGTCTGTTGCATATAAATTTGCTGGCGATGTTCTGTACATGTATGGAAAACTCAATTCAACCAATTCGACAAATGATAAAATTAGAATTAAAAAAAAAAAACAAACGAAAAAAAGACCGAATACAGTGGCAGCTTTGAGCTGGAAATATATACTTAATGGAGATCACTCGAAACGTCAGATATGCAAACAATTCGACAAAAAAAACATTTACATGGATAAAATTTGTTCTTATTTTTTCGTTATGTTGTACGAAATTTATGGAACTACCATGAGATTTATGTATGGCGAGCATCTACGAAAAAACACTTCGCATTAAACTAAGTACGTGGAAATGTTGCGGTGTATCTAGAGTGCCATCGAAAAGAAGGTAAGAAAAAAAATGTCTCAAAAATATGAGTTCTGCTGGTTAGAGTGCAATGAAATGTTGCGTAAAAAAAACTCGTTTCTATTTGTGTGTGGTGTGTGTGCTTCTGATATGTTAGTTTGTACCGTGGAATATAGCGTCGCGATATCACATTTGTTCGCAGGAATTAAGTGCGAAAAATCGTGCCAAAGATCGTTGTCGTTTTCTATCTAAACGGAACATAAACACACTACCAGATATATTGTCCGTATTGTATCAGAACTTGCCCACGATTATGTACTTCAATCAGTCTCACGACAATCCTTGCCTCTACAGTACTGTGGACTACAGTATATTTCTACTTTTTTCCTTACTTCATTGCTATTGTTTTGTCCATTATCATCCTCATCATTTTTTTCCTTCATCCATCCTTTCGAGCTACTAGATTTGGTGAAATATAGTATTTTTTTTAACAATGTTTCAGTGCTCTCGAACGTAATTTCTGCTGTGTATTTGTATATATAGTAGTTTTGTTGTTGTTATTTTTGTAAATTCGCTTAAATTGAATCTAAATGTTGATTTAACTGTTGTGTGATTAAGCTGCATTTGATATTTACTTACTACGCTAAATATAATTCTGTTTTTTTTCTTTTAGTTTGTTTTGTTGCTTGTTGAGAAGTGTAACATTTTGTTGTTATTTTCATGGCTTGTTCGATTTGTTCGGCGAACAGAAACAGTAAAGCGAATTTTAAAGAGACAAGTTTTAAGTAAGCTTTGTGAAAATGTAAATGTTTGATATATCATAAACACACTTAAGTAAGACATTTAAGTTGAGATTTGTTGTGTTGAAATAGTTAAAATGAATTTAGATCGGGTGTTTCAAGTGTCTTCTCTATATCCTTCCTTCCATCTTCGCAATCTCATTTTGTTGGGTTTTTTTTTGATCGTTTACCATTCGTTTTGAATGCATGCCGTATAGTTGAGTTTCTCCATTTGACTATTTTGTGTAATTATTTTTGTTTTCTGTTTCGATTTACGCACACGTACAACAAAGCTGCTAAGTAGCAAATGTTTTTAAGTCTATATTGATAAGTATAGTTATTTATAACAATTAAAGCACCATTTATGCATACCAGCTTGCACATCATTTTTTTTTCCGAAATAGTTTTGGCTATTCTGCGATTATTCAGTGTGACCGATTTCAAAATGCCGAATTCTAAACGTTTTTTTCTTTCTTTACAAATCAAGTTGTTTGATAGGCGATATGAATGGATTTGTATGTGTGATGATGGGTTGTTCGGTAGCTGGTGGTAATTTAGTGACCTCGTCAATTTTACTGGTGACATTTGCCACCCATTCGGCATCGAATGGATCGGCTGTCAGAGATTTTGCACGTGAATGTAGAGGTGGTGCTCGTTTTGCTGCGGGCGATACATTTTTCACAATTTGACCCAACCATTGTTCGGCCTTTGGAAGTTGATTGTTCGGTGTTACAATTGCCGTTGCGACCATTTTCGTTGCACTAAAATCACTCTTGTGTTCATCAGCATGCGATTGAAGTTGATGTGATATTTGTGATGGCAATGCCCCTGATACGCTGGCTCGATGACGTGTTGCTGGCACGTAGGCGATTGGCGTTACTACGGTATTGGCTGTATTGGTTGGTCCGTCCATTGGAATGTAACCGCTTGAGGTCAACGGTTTGACAATGCTTGTTATCGGTGACGTTGCTTCGGTGATTGGACTGATAGTAGCTATTTTCGAAATGGCATCAGCTGATATTGTACTTGGCAAACTTGGCAATACGTAATCGGATGTCATTGATGTCGTTGTCGTTGTTGGTGCTATCGTTTGTAAGTTGAAGTTAAATTCATCGCCGTTATCGCTTCGTGTTAGCATTGACAAGCCTTGGCTGAGCTCTTTGCATAATGCGCTCACCACATCAATTTCGGGCTGGACATTTATCGACTGTGTCTGTTGCGGTTGCGGTGCTACTTCGGGTATGGGCGAAACGGTTCGAATGGTATGGCCATTGGTCAGCGGTTCCAAAAACGATCTTTGACGCTCAGTATTGGACGGAAGATCGCTTAGACGCAGAGACATTTGTCGTTTGAACGGTGATTGGCTGTTTAAACTGCTCAGGCCACGGAAACTACCCTGTCTCTCAAGCATTGATGGCGTTGCATGTGGTCGTTCGATGGCATACGGATTGTGTGGTGCTTTTGGCTGTTGTGCAACGACTGCGACCGACACCTTTTTCCCAAC